CTGGTGCGTGAGTCCAGAAGTGTGTTATATCTTTATAGTCTCTTGTGCAGAGTCTCTTTATATGTACAGCCTTTTGTAAAATTTTCACTTCGTGTTTTTCCTTTTTTTTTGGTGTTTTGGTTGTGTCGTTTTCTCAAAAATAGAATCTTTTGGTTTGGGTTTGTCTTCTGACTTTTCTGTGTTTTATTTGGTTGTGGTAAAATTTGAAAGTGATTTTCAAAAAATTAGTTTATCCAGTTTTAATCTGGTTTTATTCTGGTTTTTGTACAGTGGAGTTTTTTTTCTTAGTCATTCTATTAATTTGTGGTTTTGTGACGTTAGTAAGCTCCGTTGGTTATTTCAATTTACTATATGATTCCTTCCAACCGGGTGTGTGGAAAGTTTGAAACGTGTGAAAACAAGATAGAGTTGTTATCAGTGAAAGTTGGAACTTAAAATTCAATAGTTATAAAATACACATACATATGTAATTAATTTTGTTAATTAAGTTTTAGTTATGATTTGTTATTAATTGTTATCGCAAAAGCGTTTTATTTTAGTTTGATTAATTTTCAAGAGTCGTTCACACAAGAACAACTCTCGGCAAAAACAAAGTGTGGGTCACAAAGCGTGGTTGTAGCGCGATGGGTTAGACCGGGTATAGAGCATGCTCAGGTCGTCCCTCTGGTTGATGAGGCCAGGAGTGGGCTATGTTTTTATGGCCTTTTTGTGCAGAGTCTCTTTATTTGTTCTACCTTTTTGTTTCATTTTTATTTCTTTTTTTTCTTTTTTTTTTGTTTTGTTTTTGTCCTTTTTTCAAAAGTAGAATAATTTGTTTTGGGTTTCTCGTTCGATTTTCTGATGTTTTACTTGGTTTAAAAAAAACTTGAAGCTTGCTTTTAAGAAATTAATTTATCCAGTTTTAATCTGGGTTTAATCCGGTTGGGGTACCAGGGGACTTTCTTTCTTATTCATGCTATTAGTTTGTGATTTTGTAGCGTTACTAAGCTGCGTTGGTTAGTTTACCTTACGTTTATAGTTCCTTCTAACCGGCTTAAGGGAAAATTTCAAACATGTGAAATCAGTTTAGAGTTGTTATCAGTGATAGTTGAAACTTGAAACTCATTATTTAAACAATTCTTTGTGGGCGAGCTGTGCGATTGTGGAAAAAGTGTGTGATTTATGGGCGAGTTAAGAAGTCAAATTTATGAAGGAAGCGTCTTCTTGTAAAGTAAAAAAGATTAGTTTTCTTCAATTTATTTTCAATTTTTTATGAATTTACTACATTTGAAATATTAATTTACCGCCATGGATTTTCAAATTTATGAATATACTGCTTTTGAAAGAAAAAATTCAATACTTTAATTACATACTGCGATGGTTAAAGTGAAATTGGAAAGTTCACAAAAAAAGTTCACAATTTTTGGTTGTTTTTAATTGTTTTAGATGAAGAAATGGTGAAATCTAAAAAAAATGAGACATATATAAAAAACGGCTAGTATGTCTTTGAACTTTTTAGTTAAAATTTTTTGAGCAAAAAATCCATTTGGGAAGTTAGTGCGAATGGTGTCTGATGATGTGAGGAGTTTGGTAAGCAAGCAGATGACATATTTAGTTTGGAGGAGAAGACATTGAAGCTCAAGTGCTCGGATGATGTTGTGCTCTTCAATATTGAGCAAGAATTCATGCGATGTATTTTGGATTAGGTTATTTAGCTTGTATTTGCGTTTAAAATTGTGAATGTATTCTAGAATGTGAGTTTCGATGGGCTGTATATATTCGTGGGGGATGAATAGTGGGCGGGATTCTTTAATATCAAAGGATTTAATTGAAGGGCAAAATATGCACATTTGTCTTATGGGATCATAGTAACAGAGGATGCCGTGTGTGTTAGTATTTTTTTAAACAATCAGTAAAATTTAGAAAGTATGCTGATGTGTATTTGAATGATGAGTTATTAAATGAGGTACTGATTGTGAATCTGGGCTGTGGGTTTCCTGATGGTGTGTTAGTTATGTAGTGGTGTTGAATAAAATTAAAATTGGTGTATGTGTGGATTAGTTTAGTGCGTTACATTATCTCATGTGAGCAGTGCAAGTCACGTTCTTTTGTTGTGAGAAAAAAAAGTTAGTGAAAAGTGATTAAATTTGTTGAAATAAGAATTATAAGCTTTGCTGTCTCGGAGTGCGGTAGAAAAATTATTATCATACTTTTTATTCATCTGTTAATTACAAATACATATTCTGATTTTATAAAAAAAAACTTCTCAGTTAATTGCGGTTAGTGTTTTCATCTTCTTCTATGACTGTGTCTTCCATATATCGTGCAATAGCGTGAACGTAGTGGTTAATTGAATATATGTTAACTTTTTGTGCAGCAAATTTGTTCAATGTTTGTGTTAGTCCTATGGATGTGAGATGTTTTTGATGCAGTGCTGTAGTTAGTTGGTGTAGTCGGGATTGACAGATTTCATTGTCGGCTGGGTTATTGAACAAAGGAAGTGATAGTGGGTTTGTGAAGTGATAGTGAAAAGTCCAAGATAAGGTGGGAAGCAGGTTATATTCCTCTACAAAATTCAATTGGTGGTCATTAGTGTGATAGTAGGTGTATTGGGGAAAAATGGTAAGCTGTATTTGAGGAACTCTTTAAAATTAGTGAGCTGCGGGTGAAAGAAAAACAGTCGGGGTGGTCGGGGGTGATGGACTATTTGGGTATTGGGGTGCTTTGGCTTTAATACAAAAAATAATGAGATATGTTCATGAGTGATAGTTCGTTTAAACGTGAGCTGCCTTTATCTGGTGGGCAAAGTTTTCCACCAGTATTTCCTGTAATTTTCAAAAACTTTACTAGAAAGTATGAGTTTTCGTCACTAGAGCTGTGGTACGTTTGAGTTGGGTTAATTAATAATTTTCCTGTTTTCATGTCGAAACTTTTTTCCTATTCGCCTAGAATTTCTGAATATTGTTTTTTGTAAAGTTGAGTATTATATTTGCAGGCGATTTCTGTTTTGGTATAGATTTGAAAACGTGGTAACTTATTTTCTATTCATCGATATTTTTTAACGATTTCTGTTAGATCTTATTTTATCAAGTTTTACTTTTTCAAAGAGAATCGATTCATTGAAATAATTTTGATGAAGCTTAATCATTCTTGCGTGAACTCTTTCAACTTGAAATGTGCTTCATGTGTCTTCAGGGAACCAAACGATGGTTGCCTGTATTCGTGTGGTAGAGTCGATATAACCTTGGTTAATTTTGGAAGGTAACTGTATTCCTTGACATATTATAGTGTCATCGTTTAAATCGCGTGTTGACTATACCTTTTCTAATTGAATTTTCCAATCGAAAAACATAATTTCTTGATATCCTTTACTTTTGTGTCTGCTTTACAATTAGAAGGGATAATTATTCCGATGTGTGGCATCCAAATTTTACCGTGTAGGTCTTAAGTTAACCGTCTGAGTGCGCCATGGAAATATATTTATCGTCTAATTGTATTTGACCTTGGTATATTTTCAGTTCTGCTTGATGTGCAGAGTCTGGAAAAACTTGAAAACTTACCAATTTTACATTTGTGCTATTGTTTATGTTTAAATTTAATCGTTTGAGTTCGTTTTTACAGTCGTCGGGGTTAAGATGTACAAGTCTTTCAATAATGTTTTGATAGAAACATTCGTGATAAAGTCTTTTTTGTTTCCATTTGAGACATGGGAACAATGTACCTTTTTCTCGATGTCCTGTTCGATGGGAGGGATTTTGAAGGGAAATTGGTTTTAAAAAACAAGGGCAGAAAGGGTTTGTAGGAAAAAAAGTATTAAAAGATACATGTGTAGGGTAGTCCCGAATATGGATTATAGAAGGTTATGTATCCAAGTGTCTTTTTTGTATATCCATCGTAATCATACATAAGTTCTGTTGTGATAAATGGGGAAGGTAAAGATTGAGCTGTTATTTGTGATGGAGCTAGGAGTAGAGGTTGATGTACTAACTTATTTAATTTCGCTGTTATTCCAAAGTTAAGTGTTAAATTGTCTTGTGTAAGGATCATTATATTGTATTCTTGTATGTCTTTGTGAATATTGTGTCTGTATTGTAACTTGTTGGGTGCCCAATTAGTTAATCTGTTGCTATCAAGATCTTGACCAAATTAGAGAGGAGTGCTGCGAATGTATTCCATTCTAATAGTAGAGGTATATTGCTGGTTAAGAGTTCTTTATATTTATCATCTAAATTTGTAGGGAAATTTAGTGGAAATGTTTTACTTGGAGTTTGACATATTGTTAAGTGGTTGAAGGTAGTGATAAAGTTTCTGGTAGTGACAGAGATGTATCGGATGAGATATCTTTACGGTCCCTAACTAATTTTGGCTCACCTTGAGTGGAAGCTTGTGTCATCCCATTAGGGAGACTGAAGCTGGGGGGTTAAAGGGATTTTCACGAACTTGTTCAGATGTGGGGGTTGATCCTAAGTAATCCGATGATATGTTTGGAGTACTTTGTTGTGAAATTGTTTTTAATGGTGTGGGGTTATATTAATTGTGAGTTATATTAATGGAAAGGTCCAGAGGATTTGGGGATGGTGATGAGGGTATATTAAAATTAACTCTGGGTGTTGTAAGATTTCTACTCCGTGTTGGATGGATTATTTGTCTAACCATTGTAGATGTTTGATTTTGGTTTTGACTAGGATGTCTTCTCTATTAAGTTTCTGTTGGAGAGAAGGACAATTTTTGTATGTTGGTTCGTATTGCGAATCACGTAGAGGTGCATGGCGAACTACGGGTGTTAAAGCTTCCGATAGTAACGTGTGTCTTTCTTCAACT